CCGCAGCCCCCAGCCCCACGTCGTGTCACTGGCGGACTCAAGCCCGATTGGATGAGGCAAAAGGAGAGTCTTTCGCGCTCTCGCTTCTGCATTGATGACAACGCGGTCGTTGACACGAGACTTTATCGAGACAATCGAGCGCGTCCTATTACGAATGTGCCTGTGGTGGCCACGCCTTGTCAAGCATCGACACAGCAGGATCGAAACCCCGACCAACGAGAAGACGCTGGCGGTCCTGATGGAGTTTTTGGACGAGCTCAAAGACTTCGCTTCGGTAAGCGATGGAATACTCGGGAGTTCGGGATAAAGGACCCTCCTGGCACACTGAGGCAGCCACAGAGGTCGTACTCGATGCCCTCTTACGGCCGCTCGCAGTATTCGGACCAGAATGAATCTGTCTATGTGCCTCCTGTGCCGAATTCTTCTCGTCAGCCTCGTTCCATTCTGCGGCGTGTCAGTCGATATAATGATGAGCCTGCGATTGACGCCGGAAGCTGATTACGAACGATCGAGATCATAGCCAGTGGCTTGGAGCATTTTTGCAGATCAGAGTGGACAAGTTCTGCGAAATGAAAAAAGAAAAGAAAAAAGGAGCCATGTGAAGCAACATCACGCTTTTTTGCAGAAACTTATTCTTTGACCTCGCACAACTAACTTTAAATCATTGACTACCGTAGATACTCGGCCTTCTCCGTCGGTCTCTAATTGTCCATGACTCGCGCAGATAAGCAATGAGGTCCTGTAACAAGATTGCACACGATAACGGCGTTAGAGAACAATTAGCAACATCAAGTGAAATGTGAAAAATGTGCACCTTGATGAAATCTTGTCGAAGACCAGCAGGGATGTTCAAGTGTTGAACATACTCAGACAGAGAGCTCTCGATCTTCTCAAGTTTCGTTATGCGTGCTTTCCATATCTCGCTAAGGTCCGTGCGGCGCTCGAAGTCACGGTAATAATCCACCAAAGTAATCACTTGTTCGGCACATCCGCTCACACCAGGACCATACTTGGTCCGCAACGCAGTCAGGTAACTCTGCTCATCATGGAAATCACCTTGCTTGGATTCACACGTCGCCAGAGCAAGCTCGGACGCAGGTGTCGGTGTTTCAGGAGAACGAGGTTTCAGTTGGGCTTCGCGTGGGTTAATCACTCGCGAAGATTTCAATAGTTCCAAGTGACCCGCCATTCTGTGCAAGGATGTCTGGATATCTTCGCACTCCCTGTGGCTTCCGAATAGTTGTGATTCGACATGGACGCTAGCACTTTGCTTCCTTCCAGAGTCCTTGCTCTCTGAACTTCGTCCCTTTTGAACGTCCACGGCAGAATTGGATGCCAAGCTTTTAGCACCCACTTTAACCTTTGCAACACCATTCACCGGTACCTTGCCTGTAGAGTTGCCGGAAGAGCCATCCGCCACTGCAGGGGCAGTGGAAGCAGTCACATCTGAAGCCATCTTCTTCACCACCCGCTCCACTAAGGACGTCACAAAGCTTCGGACGTCCTTGCTTACTTGGGCATCATGTATTGTTGTCTTGTCCACCTTGTCTTCAGCACATTCTTTGGCATCCTGGTTGAC